ATCAATGACTATGGTACCCATTACATCACTTCTGGATCAATGGGTGGCATTTATGAATATATTCTGGTGCTTGACGAAGAACATATGGAATCATCTGGTAAGTAGAGCAGAAGCTTTATGCACACAATGACCAGCACATATACCAGGAAATGGTTTGCAGTTCTCTGAGCCCTGACTATGAGCCATGCATGATCTTATTTTGTGTTCATGACAACCCTACAAGGAAACATAAGTATTATTTCTAGGGAACTGTGGTGCAGAAGGGTGAAATGACTTGCTAATAAGTGCCACAAACAGGATTTGAACTCAGGCTTGTCTGTCCCTCCAAACAATAGGGTTTCTATTACATTACAGTTGCCTCTTTAATAATAATGAATCTTTGGGATCTTGTTACTTAAAATGTTGAAACTTGTTTTAAATGTTGATTCTCAGTTAATGGAGCCACCATCCAATCAGTCACTGAGGCAATTCCCACATTCCACCTTCTCTGAACGTCACCCCTATGGATCTCCAAGGCCTTTCAATTCTCATTCCTGAACTGCTCTCAGCCAGCCCCTGTTCTCATCTCTACTCCTAAGTGGCAGGCTAGCCTCTGTCTTTCCAATTATTACTGAATGGTCTCTGCTGATGGGCTCACCCCTTACAATCCATCCTTGACAATTGCCACCAGCGTGGACTTTCTACTCCACAGACCTGATGATATCACTTCCTTGCCTAATATTCTACATGGCTAAGACTAAAGTCTGAACTCCATAGCATGGCATGAACAGCCTTCAGACGGTCTCCCTCCAACCTCCCTAGAGTAGTGGTTCTCAAAGTGTGAGCCCCAGACTGGCAGCATCAGCCTCACCTGGGAACTGATGGGAAATGCAAATTATCAGGCCCTCCTCCCAAACCTACTAAGTCAGAGACTCTGGGAGTAACACCAGCAGTCTGGGTTTTAACCAGTTCCCTGGGTGATTCTGATATCCACTACAGTTTGAGAACCACTGACCTAGTCAATGAATGAGTAGACCGGTGCCAGATTTATCCGTATTTCAAAGCCAAGTTCAAATTTCTGGTTCTAAGAAGTTTCCCGGACTGTACCTTCTAGGCTGGCCACTCCCTTTCCTCAACACGTTCATATATATTCCATCCTTATTAGTTAGTTAAAACACAATTTTCCAAATCTTCTTATCTAGATAGCAAGATTCTTGAAAGCAAGTGTCCTGTTTGACACTTTTCTATGCCTTCAGCATTAACATAGTCCTTAATATGTAGTGAGTCTGCAAAAAAAGGCCAAAAAATGAAACCTGTTGCTGTTGAGTCAATTCTGATTCACAGCGGCCCTATAAAACAGAGAAGCACTGCCCTATAGGGTTTCCAAGGCTGTAAATCTTTACGGAAGAAGACTTCCACATCTTTCCTCCTTCGGAGTGGCTAGTGGATTTGAACTTTCGATCTTTCAGTTAGCAGCCGAGCACTTAACCACTGTGCCCCCAGGGCTCCTTATTGCACCACCAGGGCCCCTAAAAAAAGGAGGGAGAGAATATCAAATAACATAGTGGATTGTAGGCAGTGAAATTAAGTTATTCTTTCAAGAAACTTTCTCCAGTTAAATAAATACATGTGTAATGTACTTTGTCATGATATAAAGTAGATCAACCTTGAAAACATTATGCTGACTGATCTAAGTCAGGCACAAGAGGACAAATATTGTATGATCCCACTTATATGAAATATTTAGAATTGATAAGCGTATAGAGATCAAAGATTTTTAGTGGCTACCAGGGGCAGGCAGGAGGGAAAGGGAAAGAAAGAGACAAGGGGACACCGAATTTGGTAGTGGATAAGGGTGATGATTGAGCAGCATGATGAACATACTGAACTGCACACATGTAAAGATTGTTGAAATGGCAAATGTTTTGTTACCTGTATATTTACCACACACACACACACAAATAAGTAGCTTACTATGAATCAATGTAAAAAAAAAGTTTGAAATACTTTATTCAAGTGAATCTTTTTAGACTCTTTCATAAATATGCGGAATAAAAAAGAACCAAGGTGTGTTCAATAGCTACTAGGTTCCAGGTGCTGTGGTATATATTCTCATTTAATTTTCTTGACAACATTTTGAGGTTGGTGTTATCCCAGTTTTAGCCACAGAAAGCTGAGGCTCTTCAAGGAGGAGACTTCATCAACCAGGGATGCAGAAAGCTAGTGTCAGAGCCCAGGACCTTTGGTCTTTCCACCACGTGGTCTTGGTGTAGCCTCTCCTTTGGCCCTCTGTCTTTGATGTTGGATTACTAATTAATTGGCTGGGGTATCTGGTGGCCCCTCCTCTTTAAAATCGGTGAGGCAGAAATAGGCTTCCAATGTGGTTAATATTCAAAAGGAGCCCACCAACAAATTGTCCCAGGGATAATTACCTCAGTTTTGTTTATAGAAAACCATATGTCGATAATAGCACAATTTGCTATTTGTGAAGAACTGATTTTCTATAAATTCAGAAAGTTAATGTTGCTTTTCTATAAATATGGAAATGTGCTAATCATCACCTCATCTGCTGGAGACCGCTAATAAATTAGAATGCCATTTACATATTAACCTACAAAGGACAAAAACATCCACCTTCTTTCCCTTTGACAAATCCAATCACCACACCTGCTCTCCAGTTCTCCATGTTTGTCTAGTTCCCTCTGAGTCTCCTTCTCATCTCTTCTCTCTCACTCCCTTTCTTTCTAGGTGCCTTTCTCTGCTTCATTTCTTGCATCTCTTTCCCTGTTTTTCTCTCTTTCCTCTTTGTCACTGTCTTTTCTCTCTCTGTATCTTTAATCTATATGACTTTAATACTATTTATATTCTATTAAATGCTTGTTTCTAAGAAACTTCCTGTGTGGTGTACATTCATGTCCTCAAAGGACTGAGCTTGCCATGGAATGATTAAAGTGAACATAGTGGCTGGTTTGCTCTGGGGAATCTTTTGTCCTTGAGTTTGCCTCAGATCCTCTTTGGGTTTGTCCCGAGGATGCACAAGCCTGTTTTCTTCTAATGTATCCTTTAGATAAACTACTTCACCCCCAAAGACAGCGTGAAACCATGCATCAAAAATTAAGGGAAGCCTTGGATGTTGGGGAGGCATGTTAGATCCTAGAATTTCCTCAAGGGCTGTGACTGACAGCTTTCTACCTTCTGCAGGAATCAGCATGGCTTTGAGCTTGAATTTCTGGATTTACATTTTTTTTCTCCTTCGGCTCATCTTTGGAGTTCTCACTATTTGTCTGTGTATCAAGGTATGGCAAAGAGAATTTTCTATTAGCCATTCTGGCTTCTCTGGAGACTGGCCCAGTTGCAGAGCTGCCAATTTATCATGGGCAGGTCATGTAATTCAGTGGCACTGCTCTGTGCGTGTCATTTATTTCCTGCCTCCTTTGGCACATGCTGTTTCCTCAGCCCCCAATGCTCTTCCCTGTTTTGCCAACCTGCAAACTCCAACTCATCCTTCAGAACCCTTGAACACCCATCCCTCCTCAATGAAAC